GGACAGGGTCCAGGGGAGGGGTCTCTACGGGTGTGGCTCTCCCAGAGTGACTTTTGACTTTATTTTTGAGGCCATTCTGGGTAGTGCTCAGGGCTTCCTCCTGGTTCTGCGCTCAGGGGTCGCTCCTGGCAGTGTTAAGGAGACCATATGCAGAGCCGAGGATGGAACCTTGGTTGGCTGCATGCCAGGCAAGCGCCCTACCTGCTGTACTATCCGGCCCCCAGAGTGCTACTGTTTGTGAGGCAGACCAGGGAGGCCATTGGAGGGGCAGGCAGAGCAAACTCATGGCAGGAAAATGGAGTCCAAATGGCTGTCTGGATGGGCTTCCTGGACAGAGCACCCAAGGGTCTGATGCCCTCAGCTAATTGTCCAGCTGCTGGCTGTGCAGGAAACCAGGCATTGTCAGAGAATGGGGTAAGCAGTAGGCTTCAGCCCCACTGTCCACCGGTGGGATCTGGCCTTCAGTGGGGGAAGAATGTTTGGAAATGGGTTGACAGGAACTTCCCAGGGCCAGGGATGTGGCTCAGAGGCAGAGATTTATCTCACACGTGGAAGGCCCTAGATCAACCCCTGCACTGCAAAAGTGAAAAAGAAAGAGCAAGTTCCTCCTCCCCAAGAAAGCGGATAGAGACAGACACAGGCTCTGGGAACAGAGGTTGTACGGGAGGATGCCCTCAGGGACGGCTGAGGGGTTTGGAGATGGATCATGAGATCAGCGAAACTTTCTGTTACTCATTTCTCAAGTCTTACATCACAGCCTGGGCCTAGTCAACTAGTGAGTAATTAATTAGGCAGTTGCCCGACTGCCCCTTGCCATACTCTGTCCAGGATGGTGGTGAGAGGAGGGCTGGCAAAGTCATGACCACAGGGGTGTGTGCCCCCAAAGATGGGCACTGGGACCAGGTCCCAGTATCCACTGGAAGGGCTCAGAGGGAAATTGGCAGGAGTGTTCCAATCTGGGTCCTTCATGGGGCTTATTTCAAGTCCATATTGATGCTACAGTGCCACCAGCTATGAACACTCGATTTTGGAGAAGAACTTCTCCTTTCCACTTCTCTCGTCCCATTGACTGAGTGGGAGGAACGTCCTTTTATTGGACCCCATCTCCCAGGACACAATGTCTGGCTGAAGTGAGTCAACGGGAATATTTCCCTGGACTTTACCAAACCAGAGCTGCTAGAGAAGCCCTTTCCTCTACCGGCCTGGGAGACTGGGAAAAATCAGATGACTCGCCACTGCCAGGCCCTGCTATCACGCTCTGCATGTCCAGTTCTGCTGCCCTTGCCACCATCCCACGAGGCAAATCCCAAGAGGGCCTTCTTGGTACAGATCAGGAAAGAAAGGTCAAGCAAGCACCCTCTCCAACCAAGGTTCCACTGCTAGAAAGTCCCCAAATCAGGATGCCAAGTCAGCCCCCAGAATCCTTCTCCTGCTATCTCAGAGCTCCGGGTGCAAGCCGCGGTGAGCCTAGCCGTGTCTGCGCTGTGTGGAGGGGCAGGTGAGCAGCAGCAGAGCGGGAAACTGGCCACAGATGGAATCGGAAGGAGCCTTGCAGACACCTTCAGGGTCCTGAGTGACTTAGTGACAGATCTGAAGATATTTCAGGAAATGTGGCATGTGGGCAGAGTAGAAAGTTCTGTCTAATAAACCTCTTTTCCACTGATTTCCTAGAGACATCCCCAAACAAAAACCATCCTGAGTCAGAATCCTTCCCTAGTGGCAAAGTGGGGCCAAGCATCCCTCTAGGTTTCCATGAGCCAGTTTGCAGGGGAAGATGCAGGGGTCCCAACACCCATGGCAGGAGGGAAGATCAGGATCCTGGGAACTGAAGCTTCAGTTTGAAAATTGAACTCAAATGCCTCGCTCTGCAGGAGTTGAGCTATAATGGAGGTGAAAATGTGATCTGAGTCACATTAAGTCTCAAGGAGGCACCCCACGGCTGCCCCAGGGCTTGACAAGAATTCTGCACACATTAGCCCAGAGACCCCAGCCTCTTTACTGGGACCCTCCTCAGTACTGGGGGAGTCTTTCTCTCCCCCAGTACTGCTTTTTCTCAAAAGCCAGAGCCAGAGCTGTGGTTCAAGTGGCAGAGCACATGCCCTGTAGTGCCGGAGGATCACTGCTACCACCTGGCCCCTTAAGCTTTGTGGGGTATAGTTCTGGTGAGCCCTGAAAACCATCAGGACCTAGCACTGCTCAGTACTGACAATACATGTTACCACTCCCCACACACACACGCCCTACCGCCCCCCCCAAAAAAACACACACCCAAACAGAAGCAACCTGGCTGCCTGAATTGCCCTTTGCTCGTGCTGCTGTCTCCCATGGAGCAGCGTGACAGGGGCTAGGAGGGGGCCCTCTTTGGGCAGGTAGATGCTGATCTCCGTGGAAATGGCATCATTTCCCCCTCCTGCCAGTTCCTGGTACCCAGTCTAGGTGCTTGGAATCCCAAGACTCCTCCTGAGCTGGAAGAACCCCTGCTGCTCGCTGCAGATACCTGGGTCACCAGCATCGTTCGCCACCCCTGATGACGATGACGAGAGATTCCTACACACCAGTCAGTGGGTGCAGGTGGTGAGACCCCGGGAAGTTGCCAACACACAAAAGATGTGCAAACACTGTGGTCAGGAGTGCGGCTCCCAGACCGCACTCCCAGCATGTGTGAACATTACAGCAAAAGTAAGTGACTTCTAACGGGCACTGCAGCTGAGTCTGTGAGCCCAGCAAGTACCACAATCAAGGGCACCCTGGTTTCTGCAGCAACTTCAGCAGAGAGAGCATTCCTGGGATTTGTGTCTGGCCAGTTTGGGCAGAACCACGAAGGATCTGACACTCCCTCATATGGCCATCGAAGGCCTCTGCATCGTTAGAGCCCCCCTCCCTGTGTCATCGAGATATGGGTCTCACCTCCCAGTCACCACTTCTTAGTTCTTTCTTCTTAGGTTCTCCTCTCCCTCTCACACATCAATTTTCCTGTCAGACCCCACCACCATCTGAACTGAGTCTTCAGTCTCCCTGCCTCTTGCCATACTGACACCAACTGCCACGAACACATCTGGGAACACATCTGGGGCAGAAGGGGCCTGGCGCCTCCAGGGCTGCCCAGTATGGCCACACCCCCAGCCCAGCTGGGGGTGCTCACCCTCTTCAGAAACCTTTTTCCCAGAGCTTCCTGGGAAGCCAGTTCTGTGCTGCACCTCAGACATGGGGATGGAGTCTGTCCCTCTTCATGCATCCTGGGAGGCAGGAAGGATGACAGTGACCTAGTATTGATAGCACCTGCCAAATTCTCTCCAAGGGTCATCATTAGGGATGACTCCCTTCTATAGGGTCTCATTCTCTGTTTGTGGTAGCCTGAGGCCTCCTCTGAGAGCCCCGGGCTCTGTTCCTCACACACTCTCAGCCTCTGACCTGAGCTGCCTGCACTGCCATGGAAACTCTGGGCACAGCTGACTCACCCTGCTTTAATACGAACACAGGCCCCGTTTCTGGTGTTGACTCATTCTCCCTCCTTTTCAGCTTTCCCACCAAAACATGGTATGGTGAGAGCAGAGAGCTGTGTCTCTAAACATATCTGCAGGGTCCAGTGCAGTGCCTGACCAGAGAGCTGAGGGGAGGCCTTGATGCTGGAGCCCAGAATCCTGAGCCTGCCTGAAGGGTGAACCAGACAGGCCCTTCTCAGAGGCCACTGAAGCTGGCATCTTCCAGAGCAAATGCCAGGCATGAAGATGGGCCTTTTGGGCACAGGAGCCCGAGAGCTGGGGCAGAGGTGAGGATACTACAGAGTCTGCTGTTGCTTCTGGACCAGGGGGAGCCTCAGAGCAATGCTGTCAGGTCACAGTCTCTCCCCTCAAAGCCTTCAACTCTAACCCTAGGTAATCCTGAGCCACAAAGTCAAGGGAGTTTAAGAAAAATGATGTCTGGTCTGTGCTTTAGAAAAGACCAGTTGGGGGCTGGAGAGATAGTATAGTGGGTAAGGAACTTGCCTTGCAGTATGCTGACCAAGGTTTGACTGCTAACACACTGTAGTGTCCCACCAAACGCTACCAGAAATAATCCCTGAACACAGAGCCAGGAACACAGGTAGGTGTGGCCCAAAAACCAAAATAAAAAATAATCAGTTTAGGGGATGCAATTTGTTTTTCTGGGCTACAGCTGGTGGTAGAGCTCAGGAGAACATCGTGTGATGGGAATCCAAACAGGGTCATCCACATGCAAGACAAGTACCTTATTCTGTACAATCTCTGGCCCCTGGAAGAGACATGGGGAGGGAGGTGACTGGGCAAATCTGGTCCGACTTCAGAAGTTCAGAGGGATGAGTATCTCTGAGACACACACAGGAGATAAAATCAGGAGAAGGAGGAGGCTGGGGTGGAGCTTTGAGGGAGGGCGGTGAAAGGATGACTCCCAGGTTCTGAGCTTGGGCAACTGGGTGGATGCCTGAGTTGGGGACACACAGGAAGTGGAACAGGTTTGGGAGTGAAAATATGGAGTTTGATGTGGGATTTAAAGAATCTGAGGTGCGGGCCCGAAAGATAGTACAGGGTAGGGCATTGGCCTTGCACGTGGCTGACCTGGTTTCCATCCCTGACATCCCAGAGCATCATCAGGAGTGACGCAGAGCCAGGGGTAACCCCTGAGTGTTGCGGGGGGTGACCCATACCCCCCAGAAGAATCTGAGGTGCTCATAGGACTGGCAGATGGAGATAGCAATTTGGGGGGAATATAGCAGATAAATCTTAAGTATGGACACACAAAGAAACTGGGGGGCAAGGGTCAGAAGGGAGCCCCACCCCACCCCCTTCCCTATGGAAACGTATCTGGAGGTCCCAGCTCAGCCAGAGTTGATCAGGAGCAGCTAGGGGGTCCTGGACCCTGGGCTGCGGCTCTGCTCGCTCACAGCGGGAGGTCCCGGGGCTGGGGCTCGCGTGGGACCGCGCTGGGCTGCACTCCCCGCGGGGCGCCCGTCCCTCAGCCCCCCAGCACCCCCGGCCTGGTACCTGCGCTGGCTTCTCCGGAACGCCGCTCGTTTCCAGGCGGTGAGGAAGGCCATGGGCGCAGGCGGCGGCGGCGGCGCGGGCTCCTGCGGCGGCAGCACCTGGACCCGCGCGCAGAGGGCGGCCCGCGCTCCTCCCCGCGCTCCTCCCCGCGCTCCTCCCCACTCGCCCCGCAGGAGCATCGCAGACCGCAGCCAGCACGGGTGCAGGGAGAAACTGAGGCCGAGGGGCTTGTTCAGTGACCCCCTGCGGCCCGGCTTCCGCGGGAGCAGGGGCCAGTGTCCGCATCGCGGCCCCCTGCCCAACTCCCAAACCTGCCCTGCAGGGCGGGCAGGGGACAGAAGGCGCCGCCGCCAGCTGTCCTGTCACGTGCGCTCCAATTTGTCCCTTTCAGTCTCTAGGGACATTAGAAGGTTCGGTTCTGACACAGGGAGCACCCAGGGCCCCGAGGGGTACCGAAAAGGCTTGCAGGGTCCAGAGAGGATGACTCCCAGTCTTTGGGGGCTCCTCTCAGTGGGAGGCTAGGGGCGATCCGCGGGGTGGCAGGGACACTGTAGGTATGATGTGCTGGGTCTCTGTGCTGGGATTGGGCAACGCAGGCTACGTCTAACAACCAGAGCCAGGTCCCAAGGCAGGTGCTCTGCACAGATTCCTGGTTTCACCATAATGCAGGCAGTCCCCTTTGGGATGGGATTAAAACCCGCTGACCAACACTGCGGGGGCCAAACTGAGGAGCCGGGTCTCAGGGGGAAGCCAGGTCTGCGGACCCTGCCTAGGGTCCAAAATTGGACTGAGCACCCAGTGGAAGGTCTGGGTGAAGCCCCCAGGGATTATGTGAGAAACTTCTCTCACATTTCCGGGAAGGTAGCACAGAAAATGTGACCTTTCCCCTTTTCTCTGATCTGCCGTGGTCTTGGCAGATCAACATCGGCCAAGAATGTTGTCAGCCAGACCTTCCAGATCTGGTAAATCCAGTTACAGGGCACCCAGGGCTCAAACTCCTGGCAGGCCATAGGGCCTTGACCACCGTGGGAACACTAGTTGGCTTCAGATGGCCAACTTTCCCAGACTAAATCCCAGTGACTATTAAAATCCCATCCAGCTCAGCTCTGAGCCTGTAGCTAATACCACTTCCTCCAGGAAGACTTCCTGTATCTCCCCAACAAAGGAATCTCTCTGTCGCCAGGGATTCCATTTTGACCCATCTCTCATGACATTTGGCCCTCCCTATTTTTAATCTTAGGAAGTATTAGTGACTGAATTAGGCGCACTCTTCAGCTCTCTCTCTGCGGTGAAAGTTTCTCACATCTGTGTCTTCTGCAGAGCTAAACTGCACAATTCCACACCCTGCATGTGCTTAGTGGTGGTGGATGAAGATGGAGCCAGGGCTGGTTTGAAGGCAGGGACTCTGCGGAACGCATGTACCCACACTCTCTAAGCTGGCCAACAATTCTATCCTGAGACTGTATGAGTTGAGGTTTAGGAAGGATCAATTAGGGTCAGAGAAGTAGCACAGTGGATAAGGCAACCATCCCAGGCTCAATTCCTGGCACCACACATAGTTCTTGGCCAGCCCTGCCAGAAGGTGTGCCCCCAAAACAAAACAAAAAAAGGAAGAAGAAAAAAGAAACATGTAAAAGCTGGGACTCAATCCCAGGGTTCTCAAACGTTAGGGCTTATTCTCTTCCCCTCCCCCTCCTCTTCCTCACCATTTAGTGAGGCATTATTTAAAATCCTTTATATGTGTCAACTTATTTCATCCTTAAACAACAGTTAGTCCTTAGATAGTAAAATCCTGATCTTTTTGGTTCAGAAAGTGAGGCAGAGAAGAAATAGATTTGCTCACGGTCACAAAGGCTGGTGGAGAGGCAGTCAGGATTCAATCCAAGAAGCCAGATTCAAGAATCTTTCTTATCTTAATCCCAGCCTCAGTCTGCCTGTCACACATGCTCTCAGCACACATACAGCTTTGATGAGCCACTTTCCCAAAGCTTCTCCAATCTCCAATCTCCTAACAACCCCCAGGTAGACTAGGTTTTATTCTTTAACTTGCTCTTGAGCCAGGTATCTGGGCTGTAATCTTGGCCTCACCCCTGGTCAGCTACCTATAAAGTGCAAATAATGGCCCCTAAGAGGTGGGTTGCTGTGAGAATTAAATCAGTGAACACAACCAAAACAGAATTACTTGGATACAGCATGTACACATCCCACTGTGTGAATTTTATTGTCAGAGGGGGAATGAATGGTTCTTTATGTCAATAAACTTTCAAGATACAAAATTTATAAAACTCTTTCGATTTAACCACACTCTTAAAATGCCTTTTATATTTTCCCCTCATTATTATTTTTGGTCATTCCTGGCTATTTATGTTCCACAAAGTGTCAAGAGACAGCACCTTTACATGCATGTGCTCCCCCCCTCTGAGCCATCTCCACCGTCCTTTTATTATTATTATGATTTGGTTTTTGAACCACATATGGTGATGCTCAGGGGTTACTTCTGGTTTGCGCTCAGGAATTATTCCTGGTGGTGCTTGGGGGACCATACAAGATATTTGGAATCAAACATAGTTTGGCCGTGTGTAAGGCAAGTGCCCTACCCACTGTACTATCTCTTCGGGCCCCTCTTATTAATTTTTAATCGAAATGACAGGACTGCAACCTTGTTTCCAACCTGCAACAAGGAAAGGCAGCAGACAGGTCCCCTTTGTTCCGATTTATCAACCTCTCTTCCTCCCTTCCCTTCTAATCGTTCTTTTTCTGTCTTAAATATGGATGTGATAGCTCTCAGTGAGTATCTGCCACATAAAAGGATTGAAGACTTTATACCCCATTTACAGTTGTAAAGGTTTATTAATCCTCACCAACAACCCTGTAAAAGAAAACTGTTATTCCCACCAAGGGTCGGTGAGGTTGATGGGTTTGCCCCAAATCACACATTTCAACTAGAATTTATACCCTATATGTAAGATTCTAAACCCTGGGTTTCTTCAACAAGGCCAGGCACCTTCTGGAAAGCTGCAATGAATTAGTGTATCTTTGGAGAAGTTGCAATGAATTAGGGTTCCCTGTGCTTGGATGCAAATAGGGCAGAATTTTGCAGGGGCTAGGAGAGGGGTCAGGGTACTCTATCCAGGTCTCTATGCAACGTAGAGCCCGCAGAGTCTTTAATTCAAGACTTGAAGGATGTCACACAGAGGCCCACATTCTGAATGAGGATATTTCAGGGTTGGGCGGTGGTGTGGGCATGTCCAATGTTTAGCTATTCTTTAAAAGTCTATAGGAACTCTGCAATAACCTACTGTTCTTTTTTTAAGTAAAGGAATTTTATTGAGGGCTGGAGAGAAGGGAAAGGGGCTGCAATGATAGTGTAGTGGGTAGGGCGACTGTTTTGCATGCAGCCAATCGAGGTTTGATTCCTGGCTTCCCACATGGTCCTTTAAGTTCACCAGGAGTGATTTCTGAGCACAGAGCAAGTACCACCAGGCATGGCCCCCAAGCAAACACAAAACAACCCCCCACCCCCCACCAAACAAACAAAATGGCTCACTCAACAGATTGCATACAGGAGCCCAGGCTCAATCCCTGGCACCACATGGGCTGTGCAGTTGTAGGAGAGCCCAGAGCACAGAGCTGGGATTAATTCCAGAGGACTACCTTGTGTGGCCCTGGAAAGTTTAATAAAAAAGTGTGTGTGAGGGGTTGGAGCGACAGCACAGTGGGTAGGATGTTTGCTTTGCAAGCGGCCGACCCGAGTTCAATTCCCAGAGTCCCAAATGATCCCTCAAGCACTGCCAGGAGTAATTCCTGAATGCAGAGCCAGGAGTAACCGCTGTGCATTGCTGGGTGTGACTCAAAAAAAAAATAGTGCATGTGTGGAGGTGTCCTGCAGAGCTCCAGAGCGGCGCATGGTCTTATGCTTCGATGCAAGCTTCTTGCGCAGGGTCCAGGGTTGCTCTGATCCTTCCCTGCCACTCCCTCAATCTCTGTAGCTGTTTCAGCTTCTAGGATCAGGGTAGAGCAAGCAGCTTGGTACTGTGGCACAGAGGGGTTCACCTCCCTGGCTGAGTCTCTGCTCAGTCAAACCTCTTCTGTATCTCTCCACCTCATGCTTCTCTCTATTGTGAATGTTCTGAGGATTAAACAGGATAATCTATATTAACTGCCTGAGTGCTAGGCTCCGGAAAAATCCTCACTAAGCATTAGATACGTTTCCTTTCTACAAAATAAATTTAGTCCTTCCAAGTTCTGATTCCAGAGGTAACAGGAGAAGTGGAAAGTAAGATCTCAGGTTTGGGGCAGCCAAAAACATTCTGTAGCTATTGGGATGGGGAAAATGGGTAAAGTCTTTCTCTCAAGACAGACCTTCCCTTCCACAAGATAACCTTTCATTAACTTGGATTCCTAACACTGGAACCTGCATTTCTTACTTGAAACGTTAAAAAAAAATAATCAGCAATTCTCACTTTATTTTGTGACCCTGTTATATATAGTTGTTTTGGGGCCACACCTAGCTGTGCTCAGGGCTTATTCCTGACTCTGCTCTCAAAAATAACTCCTGGTGGTACTTGGGGGACCATATGTGGTGATACCAGAAACAGAACGAGGGTTGGCCTCATGGAAGGCAAGTGCCCTACACACTGTACTATCACTTGTCCCCCGGTGCATAATTAAATGTATTTCATCATTTTTAAGATGATGTTCATTAACATATTGAAAAATAACATCAGAAGAGTGGGTGAAAACCTAAACAAGATTGGATATACACGGATAATGAAGCCATTATTGGTACGGGCATTCATTCCACAATCGTGCTCTACTGCATGTTTTCAAAGTTGCTCTATAGTCTGTAAACTGATCTTAGGGCTGGAGAGATAGTACAGTACAGGGGTATCTACAATGTGGCTGACCCAGGTTTTATCTCTGGCACCTCGAGCCCTGTCAGGAGTGATCTCCGAGGGCAGTCAGGAGTAAGCCCTTAGCACAATCAGGTGAAACCCTCCCACCAAAGGATTAAAATGTTAAACTGATCTCATGACCTAAGTAATGTATTAGAGTCTGTCTGAGATATTAGTGGGGCTGGAGCAATAGCA